TCTCCATTAATCCAGCTGTTTATTGAAGACCTGTAAGTTTTTTTTTTAGAGATATTTTATTTATATTATATTAATGAGCAAACAGCACTGTGAAGACAATGGAACAGAGCAAACAGCTCATGGATAACTGCATGGGGAAGATTAAGGAACTGTTTGGTTGTGGAGCAAAGTTTCAAGATTTCAACATTTTATAGAGCACATTTTATAGAGATTATAATGACTCAACTGTTAACCTGCTAAGATGTGGCCATTATTTATTTTATTTTATTTTTTATTTATTTTTATTATGAATAAAAAAAAGAAATAATCAAGAGGCCCTAGGTAACTTTGGAGGAACAGCTCCACTCCACAGCTCAGTGACAGGAGTCCTGTTTGCAGTGTGCCATCTGACATCATAGGGACGCATCATAGGTGTGGGGGAAGTTTTCTTACCCAGCATTAAAAAAGACAATGTAAAGCAAAAGAAATAAATAAAATAAAATAAAATATACATATATTTAGACTGTTTTTTTTATCCCCATCACTTATCATCCACAATAAAAAAAAGTAGTGAATGCAGCATCATGATGTGGGGTTTAATTATTTTTAACCAATAAACCTGTTTAGATTTGTTGTTTGGAGCTAAACACGGTGTAGTCCTGAAAGAAAATTTGTTAAACAATAACAGATGTAATAAAATGGTAGGCTTATGGTCAAGTGATATTTGTGTGTTCCTATGGCCCAGTCAAAGTGCACTCCTAAATTCAGCTTTTCACAGCTTTATGATTTCAGTTTCATGCTTTCTGTCCAATCTGACTAAATAATACCGTCAGGGCTATTTTTCAATGAAGATTCTAGTCTTCTGCAAAGCTGCTATAACCTGGCAAGCCAGACTGATAATCTGTAGCACCCAGGTTTAGTGCTATGCATTATTAATCTAGGACTGCTTCTGTTCAGAATCTTTTGAGATAATTTGGTGAAGCAAAACCAAGGTTTGGCTTTAGCCAATCACGGTGACAAATGAAATGCTAGCAGTCATCATGAGAAACTGCAACAACTTAAGGGCGGACTATACTTCTGCAACCGCACACATCAAATGTTGCTTGCATCTGGTCGCGAACCAGTTTTGATTGTATTCTTCTGCAGTGTCGGTCTGGAATTTCTAGGGACGCACAGCAGTTTCCTGCCAAAGCGCTAGGGAGAGCCTATTCGAGAACTCCCTAGAACTTCGGCGGACGGTGACAAGAACTTCTTGGGTGGCTCCGGCGGGAGTGTTTTCCAAAACAACAATCGCGCCTCTGGAAGATATCAAGGTCACAGAGATGGATCTAGAGTTGCTAGACTTCAAAGAGGAACAGTTTCTGTTAATCGAGTTGGCAAAAAGACTAAGGAGGACCATTGTTTTTATTCCTCGGTTTTTTAAAAAGGTGCGCCATGGCACCGAAACCAGAAGGATGACCACACAGACAGCCGAAAAGGCATACCAAGGACCAATCACAGCTGCTTTTTTGTCTGCGCACTTCCGCTTGAGATCTGTGCGGGTTTGCGACCGTCCGATGCCTAGTCAGGATTCTTCTTGATCTTGTCGTGCGAGACGACGGTTGCAGAGGCTATGCGTCAGAAGTATAAATTGGCCTTTATTCTTCCAATTCCTTTGCTTTTCATCTTTCAAAGATGAAATTGTGCATTCTAACTAAACAGATGTGATAGCAGCTGCTGCACGTAGCATGTCGTGCTGCACTGCCATTATTATTTTGGTTCCGCTGTGTCCTATGCAGCTCTCACCTTCCTCACAGTTTTATGTACCTCCATATTTATTGTTTGTACCTCCTGATTGAATTTTCCTTTCGGATCAATAAAGTACATTTGAATTGAATAGGGTATTGAATTGACCCATAATAATGCTGCAAACGTGACTGTCCGACCTGTTTCAAATTTGTTGAATGATTTAACCTGGTGTGGTACAAGATGGAATCTTGTGTTTGTTAACGTATAAATACCACAAAAATTCAGCTAGGTTAAAACTACTACTAAGGTTCTTTCTAGAGAACAGCAAGCATAAATGTTTTCAAAGTGTTTGCTCAGAGGAGTGTGGAAATAAATTATTTCCACACTTTTCAGGTTTTTTTCCTTTTTGGTTGAAAAAGTTCAAAAAGTAGGGCTGCAAAGAATGTTTTATTTGCTTATCAGTTAATCTGTCGATTATATTTTTTGATTAATCGATTAACAATCAGATAGCAAAAGGGTCTTTAAAGAAGATTATTTTTAAACAGATTTAAACCAGGTGAAACTAAAACTTTACTTATTGTGGAGTTTTGGATGGAGCTTATTGAAAGTTGAAAAAGTGTTTTGTTTTCCTTAAATGCAAAATATTTAAAGACTTTGACTCCAAAGTTTGCAGTGTGAAAAAATTAGAAAACGAAATTAGGAACCTATTGTATGTTTGTATTGCGTGTGTCTTCACAAAGCAGTGTGCTATCAAGCAGTTTAAAAGTAAATGACAAATGATCGGTGCTATGGAGAGAAAACAGCTTTTATTCAGTGGTTGATCTGTGTAAGAAAGCAGACCTCAAAGGACAGGTGTACTTTAAATGGTGCTGGGGAATAAAGAACATAGTATGATTTACTTCCATGAACTACAGCCGGTTCTACTCTATAAAGTGGCCTCATGATTAAGAGGGGAAGCATTCAAAAAGAGTCCTCCTTAATGTACTTGTTGGCAAATACTGAACAGCAACCACACAGCCATTATGTTAGTTGGTAACAAATTGCTCACATGTCCTTAATTTAAATGACTCTCCCCCCCCCAAAAAAAAGGCAGGGAATGCTTGTTATCCCATGTCTGGTTGCGTACCTGACATGTGCATGGGGGCACCTATCTATCTTTCTGCGCTAGACGGCTCGTGTCCCCACCAGGGGAGGGAGGTTTTAGAAACTGTGAAAACAGATAGGAAGGGGCTTTATTAACCACTCAGCAGTTTGTGACCCGGAAAACCCAAATTACCCCAAAACTCTCTCGCCTACACAACGTGGGACTTGGCCGCAGTGCTCTGGGAGTTGCTAATCGGCCCCATATGGGAGGTCTGCTCTTGATCGCAGACAGTAGCTGCACCCCTCAGAGCCCCCCTGCTCCCCTCCTCTTTTTAATTTTGCCTCTGCCACTGTCAGCCTGTGTTAGGCCCATTTTATAGACTACAATAAGCGTGTATAAAAGAGCTGTTTTACACAAAGATCCATGGGAGCCTTTATGTGATGTTTGTGTAGTGTTAGTGGAAGTCATGCTGTCATTAAGTGAGGCTGTTTAGAAAGGAGTGATTTGGTGTTGGGTGAATTTTGTTTCCTGTTGAAAATGTTAACGTCAGATGTTGGAAATGACATCTGGTAAAAAAGGGAATTTAAGGGTAGTTTAAAGAAAAAATAAATGGCTAGCTGCTTATTTAATAGGTGGCAGTGTGCATGTTTTTCTGAATGAGTTTAAATTTTTACCCATTGCCTATTGTGTTTCTTTTTTTCCATGTATTGTTCTGGGTCGACCCAAGTTTGCATGCTTTATTCGGTTTTCTATCTACCTTGGTGATCTATCTGGATCAGGGGTCACCAACCTTTTTGAGTCATCCCGTGTGGCCCTTGAGGGCCCCTTGATGGCGACGGGCACCATGTTCCTGACCCCCTTGTCTACTGCTAACTAAGGCTCTAGGGTGCATCTGGGCCTTAGGACCTTTTTTAAATTTAGCCTAAATGTTTCTCATACATGTGCATAGGTTCTCCTCAGGCCCTCTGGTTGCTTCACTCATCACAAATTATGTTTAGGTTAGTTTAGCTGCTCACTGTAGGTCTGAGTCCATCACAGGTCAGATGACCTGTGATGGACGGTTTTACTTGTTCAGGGTGTTTTGCCCAATCATCATTGAAGATAGCCCCTCACCCTGTACATGTAACGAGGTACAGGCGGCTAGATAATAACAAATACATGTTAGTTTTTTCTTTTTTCTTTAGTTTTTCAATTAGATATTTGCATTACATTTCTGCCACAGGATGGCACTTGAAGTACCAGTAATCTGTCTTTAGATCTGCCTTTCATTTGATAAGCTGGAAACTATGTGCTCTTTCTTATTAACATAGTTTAACACAATAATCCAAATATAATGACATATCAGTTAAGAATAAACACCAATAGTACAATGGAAATCGTAGATATTTGTATTTGGGCTAATGATTATAGTAGAAAGGCCTGATGATCTGCCATATCAGAGATTGGCAGCTGTGTCAATTATAAGACAAACTGTCAATTTCTCTTCTGTGTTTGTGCTCAAACTTGTTAATTTTGTATTTTCCTCTTTTGCTTTACGTTTACATAACGCCACCTAACTGTTGTTTTTCTTGTTTACCGTTTAAACAGGGATTCTCTGTTGTTTTTGTTGACAAAGGAGTCCAAATGTACCACAGGTCAAAAGCATAAAATGGCAGCTTTGGTTGATGCGACTCTAAACCTTTAGAATCAAAAACATTATTGACATAAATACCTAAAAAATAAAAATAAATGGCTAGCTGCTTTTTTAATGGGTGGCAATGTGCAAGTTTTTCTGAAGGAGTTTGAATTTTTACCCATTGCCTATTGTTTTTCTCTTTTTTTTCTTTCTTAAATCTGGAAACGGTGGGAAAAGTCAAACGCATTTGATTGAAAAATGGCAGCTGATTCAATATTATTTAACATAATATTTAACAGCTACTGTATAATGATGTTGTATATTTTGTCTTATACTTTTTGACTTTTCTTTAAGTGTTTTTTATTTTTTGTTCACCTACTATGCATGGACACAAATGTAGTCTTGGTTATTGTAATATTGAATATGCTTGATTGATTCGGCCACTGTTTGTTTTTCAATTTTAATTCGGTTGCTTCAGTGTATGGCTAAACCAAAACAGACTGTTGCTTTGTTGAAATTCTCATGTGTTTTTTGTAGCTCTCTCATTGGAAAACTCCTGAACAGTTGCTCCTTCTTTTCTTTTTCTCCTTTCAGGGCATAAAGGCACGCATTTTGGAGACATTTGTGATGCTCTTCCTGTTGGCTTTGCTCATTCTTGGCATTGTGTGGGTGGCATCAGCCCTGATTGACAACGATGCAGCTAGTATGGAATCACTCTATGGTATGCGGCTAGTGATTATTTAAATTTTTCATATTACCTGTTAATGTTGTACATTTCAAAATAAGGTAAAGCCATGGGGCTAAAAACAAAAATGTAAAAAACAGTCTACTTGATGTCCATTGGTGTCTAAATGGTATTGGCTTGGTGTGCTCCTATAACCAAACCCAACCTTTACTCTCTTTTTTTCAGGCTACATTAACATATTTTTTTCTGGGATACACTAAAACAGACCTTGTTTTAGACAAACAGGTCCACTAGAAATATGTTCAAGGACAACTGTCATTTGTAGAGTAGTTTGGGTTTTAAATAATTGTCTTACAAGAATGAAGCATTCATTTTTTTTTTTTTTTTTTACATACGTAAGACTCACGTGTATTAAAAAGTCATTAAGTGTGTTGTAGTCTATTAATATTGTTAACTAAGGGTGTCAAAGTGGACCTTTTTGTTTAAAGGAAGGTCTCCCTGCACTTAAGTTTCAGTTTTGTTTTCTTTTTTCTTAAACAGAATATCCCTTAAGGTTCATACACAAGGTACACAAATACAGCCTCTTGATTAAGTGATTTCCATGTTATGCCTATGTAAAGATCCTTTCAAGAGTGACTAAATGGTTGTTGATGCAAAGGAGACATTTCAGATGATGTGGATGGAGAATATTGAGCAATCAGAGGGTTGCAGTACAGAGATATGCATGGTGGATGCAAAGATAGAGCACAGGGAAATGTTGCTGTACTTCAACAAATCTGAACTCTGTCAGTGAATGTCGAGTTCACCAATCAGCAATCAGGGACTGCCCTATCAGCCCTATCAGGAGGACATTAATCCTAATTCAATAAATGATTTTAAAAATTAAATGGAGGTAATCTAATTAGGTCCAGATGTCGCCTCCCAAAAGAAACGCTTGCTTATCGCTCTGATTTGTGGAGCATAGAAATGGTGAAACCCATCAATGTACTTGTGTCATTTACTTCACCAGCATGTGGAAGTTAAGCTGCGACACAAAGTTGTGTTTATAAATGAGCAATGTGTAAAAATGGTTAGGCATTGGTGAAAAATAAACTCATGCTAGGTCAACTAAAAAAAGTTAATATTCTTCTTTTAGATCTTTGGGAATTCTACCTGCCATACCTCTATTCCTGCATATCCCTGATGGGTGGCCTACTTTTGCTAAGTAAGTTGTTTGATTCAGTTCTTTACTCGTTGAGCTGCCCTTATTTGGCTTTTACCCATAGCACCTTAACAGAGCTGATATTCAGTGTTTTCTGTCTTCTACGCAGTGTGCACTCCTGTGGGGATGTCCAGGATGTTCACTGTCATGGGCCAGTTATTAGTGAAACCAACAGTAAGTAACTGATCAGGTTAAGATATTTGGATGGGACGAGTAGAAACACTTGATTCTGTTTTTGAACAAAATCTGTGTCAGGTCTGAAACTGTATGCTCTGCTAAAGCTCTCACATTCAGCCATTAGAAGCTTGACAGGACTACAAATACATCACCTACTCATCCTCCCATCTGCCATTGCTCCAGTCCCACTTTGGACCTAATTATAACCCATTTCATCTTTCCCTTCTCTGCTCCCCTCCCCTTTAGATCCTGGAGGACCTGGATGAGCAGATTTACTGCATCCATTTGCAGGAGGAAGCCCTTCAGAGGAGATTAAACGGTATGTCTGTGGGAGACGTGTTGGCACGTTATAGGCAGGGGTAGAGGTTGACTGCACTATTGGGTGTGATAAAAGCCGGCCTCACTGGAATCAATTAGCATGAAAAAATCTAGCTGGGCGAACAAAATCCACACACTTGACACAAGTTTTTCCACACACCGCCTCAGTCGTCTAACTTTCTGCTAAAGGTCAAAGTAGCCGCCTTAACCGTGGATGTATTTAATGGTTAAGAAGGTTTACTGCAAAGCCTCTGTCACCGCTGGTGAAGTGATTGATTGCCTTATTTAACGTTGGGTCTAGAATGGTAACATGGGTTAATAGGGAGGAAATTAAATTTTTTGAGGAATTTAGAAATAGAAAATCCCTTTATTGTCCCACAATGGAGAAATTGTGGCGTTACAGTACTTTTTTTTTTGCAGCCCGATGCTGTGGACATTAAAGACAAGTTTTTTTTATTGATGTTTGAAATAACATAGCTTTTCTTAAGAATTTTAAACAAAGGGAAAGTTTAGAGTTCAAAGATGATAAAAATGTTATTTTTTTAGCCTGCATTACCCTCCCAAGTCTAGCCTTCTGTGTTCAACAAAATCCTTGTTTGACGTTAAATTATCTCCAAAAGCAGGAAGTGAAGTTTCAAAACCTACTTTAGCATTAACTCAACCACGCAACCAAGTGTACAGATGTGAGTAAATGAAGAGGACAAGCGTCCTTTCAAACCAGGAAGGTAAGCGAGATCACCTCCTGATAGTATGTGTTTTTTTTAACGCACCGCCTGCCTCGTCCATAGACTGCCACCAATGCGTAAGGACTGTTAGGGGCTCATTCCACTGCACTGCTTTGAACTAACTGATAGAATAATTGTAATCTGTTCTTTATCATTTCCTGAATTGTTTGATCTTTACAAGTCCCTGTGAGGGAGGGAAAACAAATAACTGTGGTCAACACATGTTTGAGGCCAAACTGCATCTCAATCTGCCTGTTAAAGAGGAGGGAGTTAGAGGTGAGGTAGGTTTTTTTGTGCAGTGGAGGAATAAACGTATCCTTATCAGAAATGTTTTAAGCACATGCAAATACTTGTTTTTCATACTCGTCTGTAGGTGAAAGCAAAGGCTCGGTTGGGATATCTTTGATCTTACAGTATTTTAAAAAAAATTGGTTCAGGAACAGTTCACAGGATACACTCCAGTGATGTGTTCTGGCTTCACCCGTGCCCGCTTACTGATACATCATCAAGCTTTTCAGTTTGTGTTTTCTAGAAACAAGCTGTTGAGCCTCATCAGTCGATGCATTTATGTTTGTTTGCGTGTCAGGCTCTTTGCAGTGGTTCTTGGATCTGAAATTGCCCATTTTAAAGTAGCATCTTGGCGTTTGATATTGTTTAGTTCTCTACATAATGGCCCTTTCTTTATTATTTGTGTGTGTCTACTTTCTTTGAAGTGAAAAAGAGAAAAGTTTATGAAAATAATTTGCAATGATAAACATCTTTTGTAACAGCTTTGTTGCTTTAAAATGAAAAATAACAATAGTAAACAAGTCAGATAAGGATTTAATCTTTATAAAAGCTGGAAATAAATTGCTGATAATTTGGTAGAGTTAGAAGTTGAGTCTGAGCAAATATTCTAAACATTACATCCCTTTTACATCAAACCAATGTAAAATGGATTTGTCATTGTTTTAAATTAACATGAATCTATTAGTCCAAATACTACATTTACGCCACTATTGATACAGTTTGAGCTGTCCAATATATATACACACAAGTTATTGCAACAACTATGTTAAGTGTCATGTTTTTATAATTTACAAACTTTTAAGCTGATAGGATGGATGGACTCTTTACGCTCTTTTTCAATTCAGTTTAATTCAGTTTATTTATGTAGCGCACACATGTTATCTCAAGGCACTTAACAGAAACAATTCAATCAGATGATACAGATTGGTTCAACTTGTCTATTTATGAAAACCAGCTGATTGCATCGACTCATCGACCTCACACGGGTTGTAGCGACAGTGGAGAGGAAAAACTCTCTTTTAACAGGAAGGAACCTCCAGCAGAACCAGGCTCTGTAAGAGAGCCATCTAACCTGGTAACATAATAATAATAATAATAATAATAATAATAATAAAAGAAATCTTTATGTATGAGGTTCATACAAGTTAGTTACTTCAGATTAACCTGGTTCTGCTGGAGGCTTCAGTAGCCAGACGCCCCTGGATAACATTTTTAGGATTAAACTTGTGCTTGATGGTATGACAACAGAATTCACGTTGTATCACAGTCATTTTGTTCTTAATTAACCAACATCACACAAGTTTGTCTAAGGCTAATTTTAGTGGTTGTAGTAAAAGGCTTAAACTTGTGGTGGCAAAAGCATCAATTGGTTTGTCCTACAAAATTATTACTGCCTAACACTGCTTTGTTTCCAAAAAAAAAAAAAAAAAAAAAAAAAATCTGAAGGTGGTTCCAGAAACATTAAATAGGCCTTTAATGCTTGGTGCTTGAAGTGCACAGCGATGATTAAGTTTGACTATTGTGCGACTTGACCACGGGTCTGTTGCTGTTGAAAACCGGGTGATGCTCATAGCTCCATTCCCAGCTTCCTTTGGTGATGTTGGGATAGCAGTTTGGCTAAAGCATTTTCATCCCATTAAAACATACCTTGAATCCAGCGTTTTAAGTATTGGCCTATACCCATCTCTTTTGACTGGCCGAGTGGGGCAATGTCTTTGAATAAGTGAAATTTTACCTTGCTTGTAAAGGCTCTCCTGCACAATGTCTTGAAAGAATGCCTGTTAAAGCTATGCTTGGCTGTAATGGTGCTACTTTTACTGGTGCTATAGGTTGATGGTGTCACAGCGCACACTTTCTTTATGTTACATCAAATTGTTTCTGCTAAGTTGCTAGTGTTACCAGCAATGGGCAGCAGTTTTGGCAACAGAAGAGTCTCCCAGCTGTCACTATACTGTATAGTGACCTCTTCCTTGTATGCCGTTTGGTGGTGCTTTTTTACACCACGCTTTTTAGCACTTCTAGCAGCAACAGATTTCACTATCAACTGACTTGGTGATGTATTGTTGTAAATATGATGGATTTCTGTTTAATGTAATTGGATTTTCAACCTGACTTTATGATAAGATTTGATTCTGCTTATGAAAGGAACCTGTTTAACTTACCAAAAAATGACTTTTTTTGTAGTTTTGTGCTACACATAAGTTGAATCAAAAGACCATTTCCCTGTTTTTTTTCTTAAAAAAATTTTTTTTTTTTAGAAACCTTCAAATCATTTATATTCAGTTTTAATTGGACCTGGGAAATGATGGCTTAAAAATCAAATCTCCAATCATTTTTTTAATCTGCCCCCCCTCCTTAGTTTTCATAATAAAACTGACAAATGACATACTTTCCTTTCAAAAACAATCATCCCCAAGTGTTCTTACTTAATAGCTGTTTAACTCATCCAATAAATGTCATTCCTAAGTGTTCTTTGACATGTGACTGGAGTGCCTCTTACACATTGGTTACCAGACTTCAGTGCTGACAATACGCCGTTAGCTCCATCCCTACTTAATGGGACTTGTTATTTTGTCACACTATGATGACACCTTAATGAATCAGTCATATATGGATGGATCAATTTTTGTTTATGACCCAAGTAAATATAGTTAAAAACAACGCAATTAATATCACTGTACAGCTAACACTCTTAAAGGCCGTAAATTAAATTACTTTTATGACTTATGGAACATAGAGAAACATGGCTTATCACAAACTCATTGACTCATATAAATGTTATTAAAAGAAGGGTTTAAACTTTCAGTGCATATATATGCTCAGTTTTGTTTACAGTGTTGCCAGATTTTCTTTGGATCTGTGCAAACTTTTGATCTCTTTAGCATCTTACCAAACAGCCATTGCTTGTAAAACTGATCATTTTGTTTTCAGAATTTGTGTAAATCTGTCCAGAATTTAATTACTAAACACGCTGGAAAAAAATCAAAATCTAGATAAGTCAATTTTCCTTAAATTCAGTGCATTTGTTCTTGAATTTAGGCGGTAAGTGAGACACATTGGCAATGGAACAAGACAATTTACATTTAAAATAAGCAATAACAATTGCATTGTCTCATTTCAAGTGCATATTATCTAATTATCTTATTTTAAGAGTAAAAATGCTCATTCCATTAGCAGATAATCTTATTTACCTACTCAAATTAAGGGTAAATACACTTAATTTAAGGCATTTTTACTTATTTCTAGATTGTTTTTGTAGTGCAAAGGTAAGGTCTCAAAAACAAGATAGAAAAAGACTTGCAACTGAAAGTAATCATTCTAAGGTAAATATGAATGTCATACTGCAAAGGTAAACTGATGCACATGTTTTCTGATGCTGGTGTTCTAAAAACAAAGCAACATGGTGCTCGTCCAGATGCTATGCGGCACAATGACCTTGCCACTGCCTCTCTTTTCTCAGCATGGTGTTTAGCATATTTGGGGATGACGTAATTTTTTGAGCATTAGAGAAGGTTGGAGAGGATATGTTGAATTAACTCTGAGCCCTCCTGGCTGCCAGAGCACTCACTCAGCATCTCTGCCTCGCTGTAACTCAGTCTGTTACTTGACGGTGCCAGCAGAGGGAGAGGAAGGATATATGTAACTTCAATATGGAATGATGTCATTGAAGATACTGCAGCTCCGTTTCTCACTATTCCCCCTTTCTGCTTTAGAAACTGATAAGTCGTTTGTTTTTAAATGTAATCTATAAGCTGTGTAGATTTAATTTAAGCCATGATTTATCTCTGCTCATGATATCTAAAGGTGTATTTGGAAATATTTTGTGAAAAGGTGATAAAACAGTTAAGTTGAACGGGTACATTTAGCCTGGGGCTCAGTTTAGTTTGAACTTGGAGGGAAAAGAAAACTAACTGAACTGTTGATGACATTTCCTCTTGTTGTGCTACATATTTTTTTTCTCCTTGATTTTGCTCTGAGCGTTCAGAGT